CATCCCCTGTCCCTGTGGTCCCCTGAGGGCGGCCGGGCGGCTCAGCACACGCGGCGGTGCCCGGAGGGGTCCTGGCTGGGCTGCCATCCCGCCGGCGTGGGATCCGTTGGCTTCCTCCAGCTCGGCATGATAATTGTAGGCTTTGAAAAATTCCTGCTCTCGGGGCAGAGGGAATGAGTTTGCCTTCCAGAGAGCACACTTCTTGGATGGCAGCTCCCAAATTTCTTTGGCACCTTGGCCAAGGTGCCCATCCTCGGGGTGGCCTTGGTGGAGTGTGCTGGCACATGTTCCATTTGGGCTCCCATCCCTGTGGCTTGGACCTGGGGGGGGTGGGCTGCTCACCCCAAACCAGTTTTGTGGTGCAGCTGAATCTCCCCCAGCTGTGGGCTGTGTGCCAGGGAGCTACTGAGCACTGCTAAACTTAGCTCACATGTGAGGGTCCCTCCCTGGGCAGCCTGTGTGGTTTTGGGGGGTGAGGACCCCTTAATTGCCTGCCCCAAACGATGCCGCTGTCATTGTCTATAAAAGCCCCGAAGCTGGTGAGCGGCGCGTGGAGCACCAGGCGGGCGGGTGGGGGACCCTCACCGTACAATGAGCTCATTGTTTGCGAGGAGGTTATTAAAAAATTATAGCATTTGAAATTACAGTGGAGGATTCTTCCTGTTGCCGAAAGGAGCAGGGGGGAGGAAGGGCCTGCGGCCTCACAAGCCCCTTCCCCGCCCCTGGCTATGGGACCCCTACGCCAGCACAAATCCACCCGTCGTCCAGTTCTAGGGAAAGCCACCGCGCGGGTGTGAGGACGATGCCATCGGAGGGACACTGCCGTCGCACTGCTCCCAACCCATGGAAGCAGGGTGAGGGTTTTTGCTCCTAACCCCCACAGCCTGGAGGGAAAATATCTTGTGCAGGGGACAAAAAGCCAGGCAGGGACCTGCCCGTCAGCACCCTTGTCTCCCTCCCCTCCAAAGCCCCTTGCCCAGCTGGAGGCTGAGCAAACCCAGCACCACTTTGCTGCCTCCCTCCCCATGCACCCACGCAGGGTGGCTGCTTCCCTCTCATCTTTGCTGTGGGAGGGGGTGCAGCCCTTCCCGGGTGTTGCGTAGGCGGGTGCTGAGGTGCTCTCTCATTTCCCGGCACGGGGAAGTGAGACACAGCACAGGGGCCAGATTTGTGCACTGCAGGATCACTGGGGTGCCTACCTGGCCGAGGTTCCCCTCTTTGGTGGGTGTGCTGCTGGGGATGGTGGGGGGTGTGGGATCTGCTGAGCGTTTGTCACCCTGGGAAGCTGCTGGGCAGCTCGACCAGGCAGGGTGGCCCTGGCTGGTGGGATGCTTTGCGCAGCACCCGGCCATGAGCGACCCATGAGCTCAGGCGGTGGAGGGGGAAATGAGTCACTGAGAAAGGAGAAACGAAGGGGAGGGGGGAAAAAAAAAAAAGGGCCCCCCCCAGGGGGGAG